GGCTGAATGCACTTTATGTGGCCTCACTGTCTCAATGATCAGAGACACCAATGGGTGGGATAGAAGTGGGGGAGGGGTGCACGTGTGCTTCAGCAGGCACTGCTTAGAGAAGGCTCATAGAATATGAGGGTTGGAAGGGACCTCAGGAGGTCATCTAGTCCAACCCCCTGATCAAAGCAGGACCAATCCCCAACTAAATCATCCTAGCCAGAAGAAAAGGAGTACTTGTGGCACCTTAGAGACTAACCAATTTATTTGAGCATGAGCTTTCGTGAGCTACAGCTCACTTCATCGGATGCATACCGTGGAAACTGCAGCAGACATTATATACACACAGAGATCATGAAACAATACCTCCTCCCACCCCACTGTCCTGCTGGTAATAGCTTATCTAAAGTGATCATCAAGTTGGGCCATTTCCAGCACAAATCCGGTTTTCTCACCCTCCACCCCCCCCACACACAAACTCACTCTCCTGCTGGTAATAGCCCATCCAAAGTGACAACTCTCTTCACAATGTGTATGATAATCAAGGTGGGCCATTTCCTGCACAAATCCAGGTTCTCTCACCCCCTTATCCCCCTCCAAAAACCACACACACATACTCTCTCTCCTGCTGGTAATAGCTTATCCAAAGTGACCACTCTCCCTACAATGTGCATGATAATCAAGGTGGGCCATTTCCAGCACAAATCCAGGTTTTCTCACCCCCCCTCCAAAAACCACACACAAACTCACTCTGCTGCTGGTAATAGCTCATCCAAAGTGACCACTCTCCCTACAATGTGCATGGTAATCAAGGTGGGTCATGTCCAGCACAAATCCAGGCTTTCTCACCCCCCCCCCCCTTTTTTTTTCCGGGACACACACACACACACACACACACTCTCTCCTGCTGGCAATAGCTCATCCAAACTGACCACTCTCCAAGTTTAACCAGAACGTCTGGGGGGGTGGGGGGAGGTAGGAAAAAACAAGGGGAAATAGGCTACCTTGCATAATGGCTTAGCCACTCCCAGTCTCTATTTAAGCCTAAATTAATAGTATCCAATTTGCAAATGAATTCCAATTCAGCAGTTTCTCGCTGGAGTCTGGATTTGAAGTTTTTTTGTTTTAAGATAGCGACCTTCATGTCGGTGATTGCGTGACCAGAGAGATTGAAGTGTTCTCCGACTGGTTTATGAATGTTATAATTCTTGACATCTGATTTGTGTCCATTTATTCTTTTACGTAGAGACTGTCCAGTTTGACCAATGTAAATGGCAGAGGGGCATTGCTGGCACACGATGGCATATATCACATTGGTGGATGTGCAGGTGAACGAGCCTCTGATAGTGTGGCTGATGTTATTAGGCCCTGTGATGGTGTCCCCTGAATAGATATGTGGGCACAGTTGGCAATGGGCTTTGTTGCAAGGATAAGTTCCTGGGTTAGTGGTTCTGTTGTGTGGTGTGTGGTTGTTGGTGAGTATTTGCTTCAGGTTGCGGGTCTGTCTGTAGGCAAGGACTGGCCTGTCTCCCAAGATTTGTGAGAGTGTTGGGTCATCCTTCAGGATAGGTTGTAGATCCTTAATAATGCGTTGGAGGGGTTTTAGTTGGGGCTGAAGGTGACGGCTAGTGGCGTTCTGTTATTTTCTTTGTTAGGCCTGTCCTGTAGTAGGTGACTTCTGGGAACTCTTCTGGCTCTATCAATCTGTTTCTTCACTTCCGCAGGTGGGTATTGTAGTTGTAAGAAAGCTTGACAGAGATCTTGTAGGTGTTTGTCTCTGTCTGAGGGGTTGGAGCAAATGCGGTTGTATCGCAGAGCTTGGCTGTAGACGATGGATTGTGTGGTGTGGTCAGGGTGAAAGCTGGAGGCATGTAGGTAGGAATAGCGGTCAGTAGGTTTCCGGTATAGAGTGGTGTTTATGTGACCATTGTTTGTTAGCACTGTAGTGTCCAGGAAGTGGATCTCTTGTGTGGACTGGACCAGGCTGAGGTTGATGGTGGGATGGAAGTTGTTGAAATCATGGTGGAATTCCTCAAGGGCTTCTTTTCCATGGGTCCAGATGATGATGTCATCAATATAGCGCAAGTAGAGTAGGGGCTTTAGGGGACGATAGCTGAGGAAGCGTTGTTCTAAATCAGCCATAAAAATGTTGGCATACTGTGGGGCCATGCGGGTACCCATAGCAGTGCCGCTGATCTGAAGGTATACATTGTCCCCAAATGTAAAATAGTTATGAGTAAGGACAAAGTCACAAAGTTCAGCCACCAGGTTAGCCGTGACATTATCGGGGATAGTGTTCTTGACGGCTTGTAGTCCATCTTTGTGTGGAATGTTGGTGTAGAGGGCTTCTACATCCATAGTGGCCAGGATGGTGTTATCAGGAAGATCACCGATGAATTGTAGTTTCCTCAGGAAGTCAGTGGTGTCTCGAAGGTAGCTGGGAGTGCTGGTAGCCTAGGGCCTGAGGAGGGAGTCTACATAGCCAGACAATCCTGCTGTCAGGGTGCCAATGCCTGAGATGATGGGGCGCCCAGGATTTCCAGGTTTATGGATCTTGGGTAGTAGATAGAATATCCCAGGTCGGGGTTCCAGGGGTGTGTCTGTGTGGATTTGATCTTGTGCTTTTTCAGGAAGTTTCTTGAGCAAATGCTGTAGTTGCTTTTGGTAACTCTCAGTGGGATGATAGGGTAATGGCTCGTAGAAAATGGTGTTGGAGAGCTGCCGAGCACCAACAACCACATACCACACAACAGAACCACTAACCCAGGAACCTATCCTTGCAACAAAGCCCATTGCCAACTGTGCCCACATATCTATTCAGGGGACACCGTCACAGGGCCTAATAACATCAGCCACACTATCAGAGGCTCGTTCACCTGCACATCCACCAATGTGATATATGCCATCGTGTGCCAGCAATGCCCCTCTGCCATTTACATTGGTCAAACTGGACAGTCTCTACGTAAAAGAATAAATGGACACAAATCAGATGTCAAGAATTATAACATTCATAAACCAGTCGGAGAACACTTCAATCTCTCTGGTCACGCAATCACCGACATGAAGGTCGCTATCTTAAAACAAAAAAACTTCAAATCCAGACTCCAGCGAGAAACTGCTGAATTGGAATTCATTTGCAAATTGGATACTATTAATTTAGGCTTAAATAGAGACTGGGAGTGGCTAAGCCATTATGCAAGGTAGCCTATTTTCCCTTGTTTTTTCCTACCCCCCCCCCCCCCCCCAGACGTTCTGGTTAAACTTGGATTTAAACTTGGAGAGTGGTCAGTTTGGATGAGCTATTGCCAGTAGGAGAGTGAGTTTGTGTGTGAACCTGGATTTGTGCAGGAAATGGCCCACCTTGATTATCATACACATTGTGAAGAGAGTTGTCACTTTGGATGGGCTATTACCAGGAGGAGAGTGAGTTTGTGTGTGTGTGTGGGTGGGGGGGGGGGGTGGAGGGTGAGAAAACCTGGATTTGTGCTGGAAATGGCCCAACTTGATGACCACTTTAGATAAGCTATTACCAGCAGGACAGTGGGGTGGGAGGAGGTATTGTTTCATGATCTCTGTGTGTATATAATGTCTGCTGCAGTTTCCACGGTATGCATCCAATGAAGTGAGCTGTAGCTCACGAAAGCTCATGCTCAAATAAATTGGTTAGTCTCTAAGGTGCCACAAGTACTCCTTTTCTTTTTGCGAATACAGACTAACACGGCTGTTACTCTGAAACCCATCCTAGCCAGGACTTTGTCAAGCCTAACCTTAAAAACCTCAAAGGAAGGAGATTCCACCACCTCCTTAGGTAACCCATTCCAGTGCTTCACCACCCTCCTAGTGAAAAACTTTTTCCTAATATCCAACCTAAACCTCCCCCACTGCAACTTGAGCCCATTACTCCTTGTTCTGTCTTCTGGTACCACTGAGAACAGTCTAGATCCATCCTCTTTGGAACCCCCTTTGAAGTAGTTGAAAGCAGCTATCAATTCCCCCTCATTCTTCTCTTCCGCAGACTAAACAATCCCAGTTCCCTCAGCCTCTCCTCATAAATCATGTGCTCCAGCCCCCTAATCATTTTTGTTGCCCTCTGCTGGACGTTTTCCAGTTTTTTCACATCCTTCTTGTAGTGTGGAGACCAAAATGGGACACAGTATTCCAGATGAGGCCTCACCAATGCCTAATAGAGGGGAATGATCACGTCCCTCGATCTGCTGGCAATGCCCCTACTTATACATCCCAAAATGCCATTGGCCTTCTTGGCAACAAGGGCAAGCTGTTGACTCACATCCAGCTTCTCGTCCACTGTAACCCTTAGGTCCTTTTCTGCAGAAGTGCTGCCTAGCCGCTCGGTCCCTAGTCTGTAGCGGTGCATGGGATTCTTCTGTCCTAAGTGCAGGACTCTGCACTTATCCTTGTTGAACCTCATCAGATTTCTTTTGGCCCAATCCTCTAATTTGTTTAGGTCCCTCTGTATCTTATTCCTACTCTCCAGTGTATCTACTACTCCTCCCAGTTTAGTGTCACCTGCAAACTTGCTGATGGTGCAATCCACGCCATCCTGCAGATCGTTAATGAAGATATTGAACAAAACCGGCCCAAGAACTGACTCTTGAGGCACTCCGCGTGATACCTGCTGCCAACTAGTCATAGAGCCATTGATCACTACCCGTTGAGCCCAATGATCTAGCCAGATTTCTATCCACCTTATAGTCCATTCATCCAGCCCATACTTCTTTAACTTGCTGGGAAGAATACTGTGGGATACTGTATCAAAAGGTTCTACCTTTTGGTGCCACCAAGTGGTACAGTACCATAAGTGTGAATATGAAGTCAATCTTGAAGAACTCAGATTAGAAGTAACTTTCATTTTCTGTTTCACGTATAAAAGGGAATGTCCACATATAATCTTTCTCCTCATTTAAGTCTGTGTAGCAGAAGTCTACTTTTTGTTTTGATCTTTTACATTCTCTGACTTTTCTGAAATGGAGCCTAACATTTTTCTTTTGAAGTTTCAGGAAGAATCCTTGGTGGATGATTCATTGCTTCAAGATGATGATGAAGAGGAAGAGGATAATGAATCTCGTTCATGGAGAAGATGATTCAACTGATCAGAGAAAGTGCTGGAACTGTACCTACATTGCATTAGTATTACCTAATGTACTTTTGCTTGTTTGTACTAAAAAGTTTTTTGGTAAATGTGATGAAGTTGGATTTCAGAAATAGACTAAAAAGCAGCTGATCAATCCTGTATTTTGCCAGATTCATGTTTGAGTTTCAGTAAATGATTGCTAAAGACATCTTATTAGGAACATATGCAATGTTTTTATTACATACTTCTCCTGAAAGTTAGAGAATTCTTTGGATTCTTTGTAATTTAATGAATTGGTCAAAAAAAAAAGACCAAGAGTTGTTATAACATAGATAATTTTTGTTCTATTCCAGATATGGAATGAAAATTTGCATTTAAAATCTTTGTGAATGTTTTCAGAAATGAATAGATAACAGTACTAAACTGAAGTCTCTAAAGTTATGTATTCATAATATTGCATAGTAGTATGCTTAGGCTTTACTATGTACTAGCCTTTTGTTGGATTTGTGTACGTATTTTACGTATGGGTTTTAATGATACAGTGTATGACTGCTTTGCATATAAGTCCTTATGACTTTAAGATGTTTAAAAAAATAAAGAAATGGAATGGTCTTAAAAAAAAAAAAGAAAAAAAAAAGAAAAAAAGCAATAACCAAAAAAGCTAAGACAATGGTCCTTGAAAATGGAAAAAAATAAAAAAGGAAAGAAAAAAGACCATTCCAAATGGTGACCCCCCCACCCCCATACTCACAAAAGGAGCTATAATCACTGTCTTTTTTTTTTTTTACATCAGTGTCATACTGAATATATAAAAAACTGATAACTTGAACTGTGAAGTCTCATTTTTAGGTGATATACAATTGTATTTTAGTGTATGGTTTTGCTGCATAAAAGCCTTGGAAACATATTTTAAATTTTAAAACTCAACGTAATTTAAATCAAAACTGCTTCAAATAGAATAACATTTAATGAATAAGAAGAGCATTTGTATGCATATACTGTGGACCTATAGAAGAAAACGTGATCCCACGAAGATATATGCACTAAAGAAACGTAACAGAAGAATATATTAAGAAAAGTGAATGGTAGGTATTATAGTCTTAAGAACTTTGAGCCTATATATTAATATATCTCCTTTGTCCTTGCAAAGATTTTTTTTTTCCCATTTTAAAACTACATTTGGCAAAATGATCAGTCCATACTATGGTCTGTTCATTTAGTTCTTAACATGTATAAATGTGGGAAATGCTAATCGAACTGTGAGCTTGCAAAAATACTAAATATGCACTTTTTCACAGGAAACTATGTTCTGCATTGGTTTCCTAGGTTTGTGGTGGTTCTCTTCTTAGCAGGGAAAAAACCCTAAGACTTAGCCCTGTAGAAATATGGAAACTCCTATGCCCAAAAGAAAGTGTTTCATATCCCTTGAAGTAGCATTCTGTCTCCTCCTCAGGTCTTTGGTAGGCATATCAGCTGTTGGAGCCTGGTGTATCCCCTAACCCACAAATAAATGTAATATAAATCCAATACACCTCTCATCAGACAGGTGCAGAGGTGGTAGTTGGATCTCGTAATATTTTTCACTGTGCACTCTTCATTTATTTGGGAGCAAATTACCGCCACCCCTTAAGTCTTTGCTTGGAACATCATTACTCTGCTGGCAGGCTTTTTATTCGTAAGATAAGAGATGAAGGGAAATGGAAGTAGTATCATCCCTGAGGTTATAGTGTCCCTCAGCTTTCTAAATCTGTGGTATGAGGTTTTTCTCATGTTAGTTCTGTAGACCTGAATCCCAGTTCTTTTTCAGTTTATGTATGTGTGCTCTCTTTCTCTCTGTGTGTGCTCACACCTTGTTGCAAAAATGTGCTCTGTTTTTGTATAGAGCTTAGTTTTATATTGAAATTTCACAATTGTCTGCTTGTATGGTAACTTCTAATGTTTATCATAGGGACTTGAACTGTTTATTAGGGAAATTGACTTTTTTACACTGAATTTCAGGCAAAATAAATTAATTTTAGATCCTATTTCTCCAGTGTTCTAGATGAGCTATTCTGGTTCATTGAATAAATAAAAACTTTTCAACTTGTATTTTTTAATTATTTAGTACTTCTGAAGGGTGCCAGTTTGAAGGTTGCCAGACTGAAATGTTGGAGACTGAAGTTTTGTGTTTTTCCACATATCAGGTACTGCAGATGAGGACTGTGCATGCTCCCTAGACTGAGTAGTTTGTTCTGTGATGATATAATCTTCCTCTTCACTGACTTCCAGATTAAGTGAAAGTTAGTGACGCTTGTTAGGGTGTAGGTTTTTATATGGGTCCATGTCCAAAGAAGCTGAAACTAGGTCACTTCACCTAGATATCAAATGGTCGCAACTTTTGGTGGTTGCTCAGTTGGACTGACTTCAAACTAGTGACACAGCTGTGTGAGATTCCATTTCCTGTTCATCCCTGTGGTCATCCTATGAAAAATTTAGGATTATGTGCCTCCAAAATTAGGGTGAAAATGAAAAAATTGTTGCTGTAGTATATTTTGTACTCTGTCTGTTTGTCGTATCTCTTCCAGTTACTGAAGGATACCAGAATCACAATGCTTCAGCTCACTTTCTCACACATTAAAGAAAGAAGCACAGCCATTTCATCCTGCAACCAGTGTGCCACTGTTTGTGTTTAGTGCCCAGAGACCCCCCCCCAGTTATAATAGTAATGATTGAGTTCTGTGCAGCATAAAAGAATATAGACCCTTTCACAATCTAAACTAGTTTCCCATTTATTTCTAAACCATTTTCAAGCTGCCCTTTTTGCTTTTTGACACCTTATGGTTTGCTCCAACCGACATGCTGTGTATGTCTGCCATCCTCCTGGTTCCTTCCTGTTGCCTAGCACCAGTGTCCTCTTTGTCCTTTCCTTTCACACCGTCTGAATACTGTTGAAAGAGTCATCACTTGAAGTCTCTCTCTGGTGGAGCATCCTTCTGTTTTTATCTAAGAAGCCATACATCTCACAACTTTCATTCCCCTATGAGTTGATCCTCCTGAATGTGATTCTGCTCATGTATGCACGTGTGCTTAGCTAAATTACTCTGTTTTGTATCCAACAGTTCTGCAAATGAATTTTGCTAATCTGAAACACCGAGAAAGGTTACCTTGTTTTTTCCAGAAAGCTTTTCCCAACTTCTAAGGAAAAAGGTAAATTTTTCTTTCTTTAAGGTGCTCTTTTGTTAGATGTTCAATGACGAAGGACTTAAGACAGAAAAATACAAAGCTATAACTCATTGAAAACGTTGATTTAAAAGAAAATACCCCACAACTTCAATAGGTTTCCTAGCAGGAAGAGAAAATCCAAGAAATTGTAACTTGTCTTTGTCTCACAAGCCATGTACAAAAGACCTCCAGTGAGAGTTTCTTTTAAATAGCTCTTAAAGCCAGGGTTATAAAAATTGAGTCACAGAAGGGGAGTAAAATTAACAAGTGAAAACTTGGTTTAAAGCATCGGGGAGAAAACATAGTTGATGTTGAAGAATGACCTTTTGAAATCTTTTCAGTATTTAAACGTTTTAATGTTTAATGAACATATTTATCCTCTAAGATCTTGTATGTACAGCATGAGCAACATCAGAGGAAGCCTCTTTGTACAGATCTGCTAATATATCTTAACCTTGTTGTGAAGGACCCACTTCTAAAGGTGAAGTGGTAGCTTAATCTTCATAGATTGGCCTTTTGCATCTTTGCTCTGGTTGCAAACAATAATGCTCCTCTCGTCAGTTGTGGTGTTGGTTTTGTAACATGGATATTTGTCCACGAGGCAATGCACGTCAAAAAGCCATCAGATACAAAGAATTTTCATTCTCCACTGATATGGCCCTGATGTGAATCAATGACCTGGAAGTGAAATGTCACACAGTTTATTACCAGTTCCCTGACCCTTTTAATCCCACTAAGGATCTAATAAAAATTATTCCAAAACCTCTTATTAATTTGCTTTTGTTTTCTTTATAGTTAGCTCACTTGATATCATTGACTGGGATTTTCAGATTTTCTCCCGCTTCGGCCACAAAGTGATCGCAGGAACTGGCATAAGTTTCCATCAGTACACCTCATTTGATGTATTACTGAATTGTCCAGGTGCATTGATTTTTTTTTCCACCTTCCACCATCAGCTACTGGCCACTGGAGAAGGCAGCATATTAGATGTAACCCAGTACAGCAGATCCTAGGTTACTCTTGTTAACCAGTTAAATTACTGTGGTTAAAACAAATGGAATAAATAGCACAGGAATTTGAAGTTTCTTCAGAAAATACAGGAGTTAATTTAGAGATCATTACCCTAATTTTGGTTGATATTTAGCCTTCTGTTTCTTGAGTTGGAATGATGTTGATTTTTACAGCAAATGTGCTGCTGCTGTAGCATCTCCATTATCATCTTCACATGCAGCTATTTTATTAAGACAAAGAAAAAAGATTTCTTTTTGTACTTCTTCAGAACAAATTTCAAGATCAATATGGTTTACTAGCTTTTCTTTGAAAAATCAAACTGATTATCTGATTCTTTGTGGAAATTAGCTCTTTAAGCATTGTGAACCCCTGGTATGGCTTATGCATGTATCTTCATAGGATTTTTAATATGCTCAGCAGGATTGCTGCCTGGATACTATGTTTATTGGTGCTATATAAGTATTATAGATCATTTTTCAGCTTTTATCCTTAATGTCTTTTTCTGCATCCTTCATTTTATTTTTAACCGCATTTTGAATTTGTATCCACCAAGTATCATGGATTTTGCATTTATAAATTTCACTTTAATCATTTAGACCTAATTGTCAAGCAAACATTTTGCAAGTCATTCATCTTTGTATATTTTTCCCAATAGATAATTGCTTTGAAATTCATGCTGTCTGAGCTTTTAGCATTTATTAGATAATCAGAAGTTATTTGAATGTTAATATTGAATTTTTTTCTTTTCTTTGTTCAGATGAGTCAGGATTTCATTTTTCCAGTGGTCTTGTACTGCTGAGAGCCTATTGATGTCTTTGGAACTGCATATTACCTGATCCTGTATTACTTTGTTACTGACGTGGTCACATGTTCCTGACTTCCACCGTACTCCAATAGAGTAATTCAGCTTTTTGCCTTTCTCTGACCAAGGTTGTGCAAGATTAGCTGCACAGGTGTATGAACAGTATATTACCCTTTCCTATCAGCAGATGGGGAGAGACAAAATTGAGGAAGTCATTCTTCAGACATGATTTCTCTTTTAAGAAGGAAGTATCTATTGCAGCAATTTCCCTCATTCTTCAGCCTTTTTTGGAACATATATTGAAAAAATGTTTCTCATGAAGTCACTAATAATACTTCATTTATTCAATCCATTTTACAAAGACTAATCCTCAGACCACCCCTCTGTTGTAGGTTGCTGACTCACATGTGAATTTTTGTTGGAAGCTTGTCAGCAATTAATTTTATTATAAAAAGTAGATCTGTTTATTTCACCAAATCTATTAAGAAAAAGGAGGACATTAAACTAGAGGTATTACCCCTCTTGATAAGCAATGGTAGGACTATCTTTAACAACTCACTTTGAAGTGGATTGCACATGTAATATTCAATCATTTGGATGCTGGTTCTTTTCAGGTCTTGGATGGGCATCAAAGCAGTTCCTCTGTTTTATCAGTAAATGGTGACTTATGCTTTTCATAGACTTCCATAGTGCCCTTCGAACTGTAAAGGAAGAAGGAAGTGCTGTGA